TCTGATTCGCGGTAAAGACAGAATGATGATAACTCATTACTGCACAGCCTGAACCCGCTCTCACCGTCTCCATCTAAATCTTCGTAATATTCTCACTGAGCCTGCTTCCGACGTAAGCGTAAAAATTTTTTTTTTCAAATCATAGAGATGTCGTCACAGAACATCATTTTCATTGCACATAAATGACAACCAGTTCAGTTCCATGAACAATGCGTTGGTAGAAACGAGAGCTGTTCCAAAACATACGAAGATCAAGAAAGTCAAACTTAAAGGTCGAAGAGCAAGTTATATGGACTAGAAAACCTTACGACGTCTAATACCAAAAAATCCGCAACTGTTATGAGAGATTCGGCAAATTGACATTGAAGAGAAGATAGTATACTCAGAATAAACAGCTACATCAACTCGTAAATACATTTCAGAAATATTAAAAAAAAAGAAAGAAACAGACAGAGGACTAAGTGCACACAAAAGTATTAGCTAATAAACAACACTCACTCTACAGTCAAAAAGTAAATAAAAAATTGAAGTAGCGCTTCATCAAACCAAAAAAAGGAAACCAGTCACACTCAATCAAACAATTAGAAAGGTTCATTAAGTCTCATACAATTTTAAATGTGATTCAGCGCAGTTCATAGCACAATATCCAAAAAAGAAGACTATCCAAGTTTTTTAGCAGAAAAAAATCTGCGAAGCAGTCTCCGTAAAACAACTTAATTCCTCAAAACAAGCTACACAACTCACAAGTACCAAAGAAGTATTTTTAGAGTAAGTTGGGAAACAAGACAGCCGGTGGAATACAGTGCTGTAAACCTAACGCAGTGTTGAAAACAACATCTAAAAGATCATATCAACAAAAGTAAGAATTATGCTAAGATGTTAAAAATTGCATAGGTGCCAGCAAAACGACAGAAGTCTTCACTAAAATGATTGAGATAGTTGAGCGAACAAATATACACACTTACCTCAAATAAATGCAAATAAAGACACCTAAAAACGAAAAATGATGTAAAAATCGTGACCCATAAGGTCACTTTAACTTATAACCAAGAATCGCAGTGCTAACGTTTACCCTATCATAGCTCTGCTTAAAGCTGAACACTCTCACGCAACTATGCTCAGAAATGAAAACATCTAGATTATTTAATGTACAATAATAGTATGATCTAAGAGGAAACAAGGTTGCGCTAAATAAATGAAGCCAGGATATCAAAGGAAATAGTCTGGTGTCCTTCTTGTTACATGGGGTTCGCCACGACGAGGTGCTGGGTCGAATTGCAAAAATGAGTACTTTAGCTCGTCATCCAATTCCACCATCGCAGCTTGATTGCCACATCGATAACAATAATTTGGAGCAGAAAATACTGTCACAACATTGCGGTCGTGGCACCAGTTATACCCCTTAATAATTTAACCAAATTACCTGACCTAACTCAAAAAAAATCTGTCTAAAACTATTTCACCAGCAAGAGTACGTACAACAAATTACACTACTTTCTTTTTCAGTACCACTGAACTCTGCAAAACTATTTTTCCTGCCAATAAATTTCAAATACAAAGTTAAAGCTTCTAATTAATACTTTAAATTAGTGATTTAAAAGGAGCAGAGGACACTCCACTTTGTCCCAGTGGTAAACAAGAATAATCATGGATTATCGACAAAATACTTCAAAAATAACTCACTTCCATCACAAGCTGATGTGCTCTAGATATTAACGTCAACCCATTAGAATGATTAAACGTTTCAGAAATGTCTTGTCCAAAGGTATAACCAGCACCTCGCGGCGATATGCCCCATCCCCCACGATCGTCTGGATCTGACCACAATAGGTCACACATAGGGCCTAAAAGTAAGTTAAAGCTGTTAAAGACCTTTCAAAAGCTAAAAATATTATGCAAAACCTTTACCTTCGTGCGGGACCTCTTGGATCCTATCTAAGGCACGAATGTGATCAAGACTATCGATAGAAGGAGAAAGACCGCCATGCAAACAGAAAATCTGGCCATCCACTAAAGCGGTAAGAGGGAAATAATCGAATAGATCGGTGAAATACTTCCACACGTTAGAGTTCCCGTACTTGCGCAAACATTCGTCATAAAAACCATAGACCTGCAATCATCAAAAAATCACAATTAAGACTAAACCAATTTAAACCAAAAAAAAAGCCAAAGAGATAAACAAAGCAGAACACATAAAACCCACAACAATAATAAATCCGATTCACTTTTGAAATCAAAAGAAAAATCAGGTACATCATTTCTAGTAAACCTGAAGCAATCTAGAACCACTTCAGCGAAAAAATACCTGCGTGATTTGACGTGACTCGTGATTACCTCGTAAAATTGTAACTCGTTCTTTATACCTGACCTAAAATCAAACGAATAATGATCAAAACAAGGAATACAAGTAGATAAAGCCTACGCTGTCAAATGTTCTTTACAACTGTATTAGGAGGCTTCATTAAACTTGAGAATTAGAAGAAACTAAAGATGGTAATAATAACGACACGTGGAAAAACACTGTCAACGGGAATTACAAAGACTTCTTTAAAGTTCCAAAGCGAATGTATAAATTAAATAAGTATGCACCTTCAAGCAGACAAGTAATGATACAGTCTCTACAGAATAATAGCCCCTATCTACATAGTCGCCCATAAACAGATAATTTGTATCCGGAGACTTGCCGCCCATTTTGAACAGCTCCATTAAATCGTGAAATTGACCATGAACATCGCCGCAAACTGTAACTGGGCACTTTACTTCCTGCACATTTGATTCCTTCTGCACGACCTCTTTCGCCTAGAACATCAAACTCAAATTGACTGATGGAAACACAGGTGATGCTTGAGTAGCAAGTAACCTAAGTTGAATTTTACACGTACACATAGCTGTTGCTATAAAATGCATAAATAACACTAGTACCAAAAAATCTATTTCTATTAATTCTAATCATTAATCTACAAAACCTCCGTCACAGACACCTAAAATAATTTTAAATATCCTAAATACAAAAATAAAATAAAAGCAGTAATTATACAATACTACAACAAAAAAAGGAAAAAATTGCCTTTTCACATAACAGTTTGACTTGGTTTTCAGTAAGCTGTTTACACTCATAAAGTTGTTCAATCCACTGATCAATCTCCTTCAGTCTAGCACGTTCACTACTATCCGTACTAGAAGCAACAGTACTTCCCGGCGACGCCATCTACAACTAAACAATTTTAGGCTCAAACATAAATATATATATATATATATATATATATATATTTAAAAAGAAAATAATAAATAGCAATGTATTAAGCAAAAGCTGACATCAAAAATAGTCATAACAGTAAAATGATGAATAGCGATGTTTCCATGAAAACTTTTGAAATTCTTAAAAATATAGTGTCAAATCAACGTGAGCAGCACAAATTCAAAAAAAAAAAAAAAAAAAAA